TTCTTTCAATCTGTCCTGTGAGTATCATATTTTCCAATCCCTCTTTCCTCATTATCCCTCCTGGAAATTTCAACTCTCTCTTCCTGATACTATGTATAAGTTTAATAGATTTCAAGTTTTAATTCGACATATTTTTCCACGAAGAATAAAGTTTGAAGTTATAAATACTTCGAAATGCTCCCCTTTGTGTTTAATACAATACTGGGCACTGTTATCCACACTGACAGAAACCATTTGAACATTTCTATATTAATTCCAGAAAATCTATCAGAAATTGCTTGCTTTAATTCAGGAATTGTTTTCGGTTTGAGCCAATAGGCAAGATCTTTCAGTACACAACACAAGGAATATTTTGGTGGTGTTCGCTAAGATGATCATGGTGGACTCTCAACTGCTCTACATCGTCCTATGTACTTCAAATTCAAAAGAAGGGTGATACTTTTGCCGTACCTTAGAGAGAGAGAGAGGGAGAGAGAGAGAGGGGGGGTAAAGGGACTCTTTACTTCGATTCTATTTTAATTGCAACATTTATTCAAAACGTCTGTTATTTTGTACATAAAAAAACTAATTTTATATTTTCTCCATGATATTGTTAATCATAACAATAAATCTATTGATGATAAAATTTCATTTTTTTATAAGTAATTTGTTTTTCGTTCTAAAAGATATTTTTTTTAAAATGTTATGTATTTTATTTTAGTTCACTGTTGACAACACAAACTAGGATTAAACATGATATATTATACAACAAAATTAATATAAAATTAAGAACGTTGTTATTCAATGTTAATGTCATAATTAAATGCAATAAATTTAATCAGCTATTATAAGATATTGTAAACAAGGTGTATACTAATCCTGATGCAAAATCGCATTTTTGAGGGTCAATTTTTGCCATTTATACTTTTTTACATATCTAATCATAAACAAGCCTACTTATGACAAAGCATGTCTGCATTACAACAGGTACTTTAATTCTAAATCATAAAATAAAATAAATTTGCTTTAATGTTTATTTTCTTTCATGTCTTAATTTGGCTTCAGAAGTCATAGTTCCAATATGGTTTCGGCTTCATAAAAGCCATTTTAACGTGTTTTATTTTTTTTTTTACAAAGATTAAAATGCATATAACATTTAGTATGCATGTATAGCTGGCCATTCATATTCGAGGATATCCGTCTACTAAGGCAGCTAGCCAATCCCTATTGCAGACGCTTGTTCAGGCACATTTGTGTTTATTCAACACTTGTGATTTATACTGCATCTATGCTGAGCAGGACTTAGTTACAGTTTCTGGGAAAAAGCATGTTATCTAGCATGATCAACAATCTTAATAAGGTTAGCACGTTCAATCTCTCAGCCATGATGACTTGTAACTTCGAGCTAGCACAGCTATCGACGAGTTCCGTCTACGCCACTTTAATGGTAAGATAAATGCTTCTTTATAAGGAAACATTCGGCATTCATTGAGCGACCATTTCGCATTACTGCCTATTGGAATGTATCCCATTCTTCTCATAAAACCTTTTTTTTTTTCGGAAAAATAGACTCCCTATCCTATTTTCTGAGAGCTTCCAGATTATTATATTTTTTTATATTAATGTAGCAAGTCAACATCTTAATTCTGCCTTTATATGCTTTTCGAAATAAAAGTGCTACCCCTCTTACTGGTTGCTACTGCTGAAAATCTCAAATGATGTTGTTTCTGTTATTTTGTAAATTTATTTATTATTATTCTCCAGGTTACAAGATCCGAAGTCGGAGAGTCGTCTACGGGAGATAGATGAAGCATTCCTTTAAAACCATTTTTGATAATTGATGTGTGACATCTGTTGTATATAGTTGATTATTTAAGTATTTCTTAAGTAGATTGTGGCCATCATTGGCATCCATATCTTATAACCCATCTTTATATATTTGTAAGTAATTATATATATATATATATATATATATATATATATATAATAGCCGGCCACTCCTATTCGAAGATACTAGTCTACTAGGGCAGCTATCCGATCTCTATTACAGAGGCTCGCTCAGGCACAATTGTGTTTGCCCAACACCCACAGAGCCCACCTATGGTTTATACTGCAACTATACTGAGCAGACCTTAATTACAGTTTCTGGGAAAGAGCGTGTTATCTAGCTTGATCAACAATTTGAACAGGGCCAGCACGCTCAAGCCCTCGACAACGATCAATTGTGAATTCATGCTAGCACAGCTATGAACAAATAAGGGTTCCGTCCACACATTTTCAATCACAAGGCTTGGGTCAACCCGTGGTATGGTTTTTCCGGCACTTTGCAAAGATGCCGCACTCTGGCATCAAGCCCTCCAATTCCGATAACATCTGAAAGTTTCCTTCCTGACAAATTGACCATAGTGAGAATCGAAACCGGGTCTCATGGTCAGAATAGGAACATTCTAGCCACTCGGACACGTGTACATTTAGTACAGCCTTCTTAACGGGGTGGATAGTGATTGATCTAATTCTCCGCCAAATTATATATTAACTGTAAGATTTTAGTACTGAAAAAATACACCAAGAAAAAGAGAATTCATTTTTCAACATCAAATAATTGTGTAAATTAACGCAAAAGCAAAGCCGAAACTAAAAATCTTTGCTCTCAGTGGAACGGCGAGATTTGAATGCCTCCAAGTTCTGGGCGAGAATTGCATTATCACTTAACCTTAAGTAAAGAAAAACATGCTCAGATCTCTTCTTCATCGGTGGGGAAAATTCTCAGAACTCACCAACTATATTACATAAGAACTCAGCACTCTTTTCTTTGTTTCTCGTTTCTTGATACTTTTCTTAGCTTTTGGAAATCATCTTTTGTTAATCGTTCAGATTTCGACGTTAGATTTCCCGTCCTCCATTTAAATCTACCTAGATATTTAAAATTTGGCGCATACTTGGGGAAAAGAAAATTAACGAGGACTAGCTCCCGTGACGATGCTTACTACAATCTTCACCTCTTGACGTTATATGTTCAAATGTTATCTATCATTCATATCCTCATAATATGCACCAGTTCTTCCTCCACTTAGGCACTTTTTTTTAATTTTATTCATATTTATATTTATATTTATATTTATTTACGGAGGAACGGTGGAGTAATGGATAGCGGATCGGACTGAGGAATCAGAGAGCCGAGTTCGAATTCCAGTCGAATCCATTACATTCACTTACGTGCTAATAGCCTTAAGAAAGGTGTGAATCCTCTTCTTCTCCCCATCCCCTCAGCTATGAGTAAATAACAGACAAACTGGGTTCTGTAGACTTGGATGGCAACTGGTCTACCGTAGGAAGAAATGACATACCCACTGTGGGGAAAAAAATCTGCCTCGTCAGTCATGTATCGAAAGACACATGATCGCCTAAACGTTCACGCATGGCACATGACAGAGTCTATCACGCATGGCACATGATAGAGTACATTTTTGAAAAAAAATAAATATTAGAATAAAACAAACTAAAGATCGATGACATCAATAAGTCACCTTCCTGGCAAATTGACCATGATCAGATGATCGAACCCGGGATTCATTGTCGGCATACGAACGTCCTACCATAGGCATTGAGTTCCACGTGACAATCGAACAGGTTAAGCTGTCAAGCTTACCAGTCACCAACGACCAAGTACTTCTTTAAATCCAAGCCTATCATACAAGAAAATCGCTTTTTGGTTGTTTTTTTTTTTGGGGGGGGGTTCTGAATAAATATCTTAAATCTTATCAGTTCTACTGCCGTTACTGTTGTCGCCAGAGCCATAAAGAGACGCCGTTCGCGCCATTACGAATAACCAGATGTTGACAACGGACCAAGTTCGCAATCGTCCGGCTTGCCTTTCCGATGCTTGTCAATGTTATTGCATTTGTCCAAATGGAATATTAATGAAGAACGCTTGACGTGCGCATACATAAAGGAAGATTGGTAACTTGACAAAGAATTGTACTGAATCAGACAAGTTATGTGTTTGTCGAAAGGCAAACAAAATGGATAAAAAAACAAACAAGTAGTTAAAGGAAAAGAACCTGAAAAAAGAACAATTTACAGCAGCCTATGAGCGCGTTGGCTAATGCCGACATATGCGCGCATGCACAAAACAAACGGACAAAAAACATACATACACACACATATATATATATATATGTATATATATATATATATAGAGAGAGAGAGAGATAGAGACAGGGAGGGAGGGAGAGGAGGAGGAAGAGAAGATGGAAAGAGAGGGGAGAAGGACAGAAAAATGGAGAGCGGGAGATTAGATTTTCCGTCGTGTAATGTTTACTATAATTCCAGGCAGTCACATCACGAAAAAGAGATCTGTGTGCATCAGTTAATTTCATGTACAATTACGACAAACCGTCATGACCATGACGACATCTGCACGCTGATTTATTTAAATATTTTTTCTGACAATGTGCTTATGCGTACACCCACGCCTCGCACACATACACACTCCCCCTGCCAAACAAACTCACATGCAAATACGTACGTATGTGTATAGATAGATAGATAGACAGATAGATAGATAGATAGATAGATAGATATGCAGGCAAACAGCGATCTATTAACTTTGATAGAGAACATGTTTTTAAAATATTATGCTTACATCTTTTTTCTACTATAGAAAAAAGGGGTCACATGTTGAACCCATGTCAATAACCCTTATTGTTTTCTCGCTCCTACTTGTCAGTGTTATCAATATAAGTATTATATATATATATATATATATATATATATATATATATATATGAAAAATTTCTCAGAGTTAACCTATAGAATAAGACAATATTCATAAATCTAAAAGACAATAGGAAAACTGTAATACTGTCAACGTGTCGGCTACTATTACAGTATTCCTATCGTGTTTTACATTTACCTATGTATATATATATATATATATATAAAGACACACCTAAAATCATTTAGACACGTTTTGTCTGCTTATTCTTAATAGGATCATCTCATATTTGCGTTTCTTGGTATCCTTATTGAAGGAAGAAAGAAAGTTACCATATTGTTGCATATTTTTTTTAATCCGAGTACTTTCGACATTAGCACAATGTCATCATCAGTGTCTTGTTTAATCTCAGACAAATTTGATGTGTTCAATATTTTTCTAAGATAAAATTGTTCTGTTTATCTGAAAATTAAATTTCTTACTTGTAATATGAAAAACGCTAAACTTATGTACTGCACGCTTTTTAAATTATATGATGTAAACATACACGTGTAGTAAAGGGAGGTAACTAAGTTAATGAGATGCGTAAAACTATTGGTTAAAACCTAGATATTTTAAACTGTCTACTCTAATTATGAGAGGATCCTATTATGAATAAGTAGAAAACACTTGTCTAAATTATTTAATAAAACTTGTCTCAATGAAAAAAAAGCTTCCAAAATATGCGCAATATATGTCAACAATGTTCTGCTATTCAACTCTGATTACCATCTATTGAACGTGTTCTCAGATTTTCACGCAGCCCACCTAACCGTTCCCATATTTCTATACAGCAGAGGTCCCTGGTATTTTATATTCCATTCCCAGATCATTCTAAGAACATTTTCAGAATATTAATAAATATATACGCGAAGAATAACATAGTTTATATTTGCATCTCCAATAATCCAGATGTCCTGATCTCTCCACTCAACTGAATTCGTCCTAGGTATGACGATAAACTACATCTGGCAGCACAACCTATGATCGGAAAGTTTCGAGGAGTAGGGAGCCACATCTTAATTGCTGTTGTTCCTATACACTGACCCAGTGTGGTAACACCTGTTAGGGTTCCAGCTATAGGCAAATAGTTAACCTCAAAACTCAGGTCAAAACACTATGAAAGTTTAGAAATACATGTTTATATTAAAGGTGCCAGCAATAAATTTTCATAGTGAAAAACGTACCAGCAATATGTTTTTATAAAGAAGAAAATTACCAGCAAAAGAAAATACTAATTACTTGTTACAGAAATTACTAATGCTCCCAAGAAAATTAATTTTCGGTACTATTGACGAATAAAGAGTTGATATGCCGTTAAACAAAGAAAACAAACACAGCTGAATATGGGAAATACTTACCATTAAAATTCAGTACCGAAAAAACAAAGTACATCACCATATTAAATGTTCTCCAGTCCTGGTGAAAGGTTTTACTCTCGATGAGTCTCCTGGCCTGAATGGTCTATTTAGACTCAAGCTTCCAGCAGATCTCAAGTGGTACCCTTATATAGGATCTAACGTTAAGGATGCTGAAAAAAAGAAATGATCGTCTCTCTGTTGTGGGGATCGAACTCACTACTCATGATCATCAAACTAACCCCGTTATCCATTAGTTAGAAATTATATGTAGCAGGCCCTTATATATGAAATGAAATTGCTAGACCTATCTTTTAGGGCTGTTTCGCAGTCTTTCTTAGCTTCGTTAAATATGGTTTTATTGTCATAATTGTTGGAGAGCCTGCGGTTAATAGATTTTGCTATATGTATATGTTTGATTATCGAGCAGGTTTTTAAATTATTGGTCTTTTTACTTTTGCTTTTTTTTTTTGATAATTCTTTTTTTAATTTTATTGTTTTTTTTTATTTTTTTCTTTCCAAATTTCCTTCCTTTTTTATTTTTCCTTTCTTTCCTTCCTTCTTTCTTTCTTTCTTTCTTGTCGTTCTTTCTTTCTTTCTTTCTTTCTTTCTTGTCGTTCTATCTTTCTTTCTTTGTTTCTTTCTTTCCTGTTCTTTCTTTATTTTTCCTTTTGTTCTTCCTTTTTTGTCGTTCTTTCTTTCTTTTTTCTTTGTCGTTCTTTCTTTCTTTCTTTCTTTCTTTCTTTCCTGTTCTTTCTTTCTTTATTTTTCCTCTTGTTCTTTCTTTCTTGTCGTTCTTTCTTTCTTTTTTCTTTGTCTTTCTTTCTTTCTTGTCGTTCTTTCTTTCTTTCTTTCTTTTCTTTCTTCTTTCTTTCTTTCTTCCTTTATTTTTCTTTCTTGTCGTTCTTTCTTTCTTTTTCTCGATTCTGTCTTTCGTTTTTCATTTATTTCGTTTGCTTTCTTTCCATTTTTTTCGCTCTTTTCTATTTTTTCTTTCATTTTTCTTCCCTTACTTTCCTTTCTTTATTCCTTCCTTTACACTTATTGAATATGATTTCTTTTTTTGACTTATTTATGTCTCTGTCATTCGTTTCCTCCTCGTTTCTCTATGGCATTTCTTTCTCTCTCTTTGTTTCAACTCTTTTTCATCATTTTCTATTCCTTCCCAGAATTCCTTCCCCCCCACTGCCTCGTAAGTCCTCCCACCATATTTCCTTCTTCGTATCCATCGATTCCTTTTGCTCTTCTTCTCTTCTTATATTACTTAAACCTCCAACCATTCCTCCTGTCATTTCCTCTTACTATTCCCCTTAAATCCGCTTACCTCCTACCCTTTCTTTTCTGTACTCTATCTTTTTCTGCTGTTTCTACTCTGCTTACGAGTTTTACTAATGACAGCAAAGTTTGTTTTTTTTTAACTCTTTTTTTTTTTTAACATTATTTGCTGTCTTCTTCGGTTCGTCTTGTCAGATTTTCTCAGTAGATTTCTTGTGGGTTGGGATAAGAGCTTCCTTTGTGACTCTTCTTTCGACCTTTGCATTTTTTTTAAAAATCATTTTCGTTATTTTTTCTTCTTATCTTAAATTTTGCATTCATTTATTCGGGGTATATTTTGTTTATTTATTTTCGTTAACCCAAAACTTGAAAGCGCTACTTTGTTTAATGGGGACTTAAAACATATTTTCTACCTTTTCCTCGTTTCTTTCTTTTGTTTATTTTTTTTTCCTTTTTTGTTAGACATTGTCTGTCTTCCTCTACAATGGTTTTACAATTTCTTTCAGTTTTCAAATATATTATTCGTATAGTTCCACTCCAATACTACTCAATTTCTTACTTTCTTTTTCCACCCGGATTTTTTCTTTCCAGACTTTCATTTTTTTCTCTTTTCTTTTATCTGTTCGTATTACCCTATTTCAGTATTTACTAAGCTCTGCATAGTATGCTCCAAGGTCAAATTGAGAAAAATTGGGGTACGATATTTCTATTAGACAAATAAGAGAAACCCGTCTACTTTGAAAATCAGCTTTAAGAATACTGAATTTTAAGTAGAAACGACAGCAAACATTGTAACCTTTACAAAATACCTGTGGCAACAACACTAAAAATATCTGATGAACAAGTCTGGCACAAGGACAAACTCAATGAAATTAAGATTGTTTGAACCAATCTTTTAATTGAGAAAAGTCTACCTTCCTTGAAAATAGGTATTCGAAATCGCTGCTTTTACATGTATTTGAACAACGATTTCTGACGTTGTATGTCTACAAATATATTTCGAAGTACAAAGGAGACAACAATAATAATATCTGTTGTAAGGAGACAGGGGTGGATTATGCTTCTTTTTACAGGACGATTTTGTCAAAGGTCCTGAGTGTCACGTGACAGACCGCCAGTGACAACAGCCGGCGGGTACCGATCAACAAAAGGGCTAGTTGTGTAGCCAGCGGCGGTAAAGAGAAAGAGCGAAATCCAAGAGGCAGAAATAATGAAAATTAAAGAAATCATTCTTACTGACTCTTAGAAAAATAAAAAGTAAGACTGTCTTTGAAATCTTCCTTTCACATAGTGCTTGTTTTATCCATGTGCTCTGATTTCTCATAAATCATCTGATAAATTGTGATATATATATATATATATATATATATATATATATAGAGAGAGAGAGAGAGAGAGACATTTTTGCGTTTATACCTTCTTATTATAGATACAAATATTTAAGTAAATGCTCTGTTTATAATAAACAGTATTAACGACATTTACCGATCTGAAAGTCCGAGAAATTTTCATAGAAAATATGCGTCCAGATTGAAACAGATTCTTGCATTTGGCGGGTGACTTCAATGTCAAGTTTTATATGTACATACGTTCTATCGATGATATTGAACACTTTAACCAGTAAATATAGCATAGCTTCAAACTATATTTTATCACATATATATATATATATATATATATATATATATAGTACTGGTGGTACGAAAACAGTGTAGTATATAGTACAACAGGCCAGCTAAGTATATATTCATAAATACATACACATATTATCCATCCCCAATAGCACAGTACGGGCTTGAATGCATAACACAATCTTCAGGTGCTGAGTACAGAATGACTGTTACGTAATTTAAAGTTTTAAAAAATATATCTGGTTATCGCAATGTTAGTGCATTTGTATATTTTGCTGGGATTACATTTTTATATATATATCAGGGATACAGGAATGTAGGACACTCATGGCTAAGATAGAAAGACAAGCTGAGACACAACTTATCAGCTGTTAATATACCACATAAGACCCTTGAGCGCTTAGCGTTGGAACGGGTAGAATGGAGATCATCGTGTTTTAGTGGACTCAGCAGTTTTGAATCAGCTTGTCTAAATGATCTTCAAGAAGCGAGAGCAAGATCTAAAAGGTCAACCAATCTAACATTGATCTCATCTCACAATCTTCACTCTTGCTCCATATGTGGCGTCCTTTGTAAATCACTGGCGGGTCTTAAGTGCCACTTAAGATTATTGCACAAAATTTCATAACTGAATCAATTAAACTGTCAGATACTCATACGTCGAAACCGACGGGAGAGTCCATCATATATATATATATATATATATATATATATATATATATATGCACTAGCAGTCAAAATTATTTGGCCATCCTCAAAAAATTTTATTTCTCATCCTAAAAGTGTTATTTTCAGTGAAACACGTTAAGCTTCACAATGGTTTTATTTATTATACTAAACACAAGTCTCCCTGAGCTAAATTAAATACAAATTAAACAATAAAAACGCAAAAACTTCTTAAACTTTTGATTCATCAAAATGACCCCATTTGGCCGCTATCACCGTTTTACAGATTCTCGGCATTCTTTCGACCAAAGACTGAAGATAGAATGAAGCTGGTT